CTAACTGCTAAGTGTATGTTCTAAAATCAGGCAGAGGGCTGATGAGATTAGCAGAGTAAAACTACATCTCTGTCCTTTCCTGAATCCTGCTTACTTGCTTTGGAACAAATAGACGAGAAATGAATGGGCACATGGCAGGCTGCCTAGGGGAACATAGAGATATTTCTCCCTTTTGTGAACAAGTAAACGTTTTATCTGACCATCTTGCAAAGGAAGGTGCTGAATGGTCTCAATTCCTGATGACTGCAATGAGAATTGAGGCTGTGTTGCACAGGATCAAATCTTATAAACAAGATGATGTAGTAATAAGCAATATGATTTTGTAAAGGAGAGACTACTGCAGCCAAACTCTAGCTGTCTTGACACAGCTACGGGTTTAGTGAATTTAATTTATCAAGACATGCATATACCCCCTTATCTAAAGTGAATAGCGAACTGGACATATGCTTTCAGGCTAAAGCTAACATTAGAGTGCAGACAATACTGACTGACAGAGCATATTAATGGTAGCAGAACACTGTCTTTATCCTGCACAGTGTTAACAGCTGCCATAAATGAGTTTTGATGTATAGACAATGTCAGATTTAATTATAAAATCTTCTTTTTAGGCTGAGTGGAAGTATCAATTAACATGTTTATGCTGAGGCAGCTAGAAACAATAGAAGCTATTGCCCTGGTAATGCTGGATGGGCTAAGTGGCAGTGCCTGACAAGCCAGGTAGGCTGAGCAACTATCTGACTGTAAACATAGGAGATATGAGATATTTTGGCATGTTCTGTGTGTATAAGAAGAGAAGACCAGCATACAGTAAGGGAGACAGTTATTGGAAACAGAGAGACAATACACTCTTGGGGTACAGAACTCACTAGAGACATCTGCTGCTATAGGATTTTGTGTGTGCTCCTTGAAAATACACAAGGTCACACTAAAGAATATACCTGATTTATATCCTCCATTTCTGAGGTTACTTTTATAATGCTATCACCAGGGACAGACAGCATTTGCTGCTGGAGATAGGAAAAAATAGATAGTGGTTCAAAGAGCAGCTCTAAGAAGAGGAGGAGGAGGAAGAAGAAATAACCCATCTAGAATGAAGGTTTTAATATCCAGTATTTCTGAAACTACCAGGGCTAGAAACGAGAGCTGCATACAGTCACAAACCCATTATTTTCAGCTTTCAGACAGGATGGCCTACAACATTAATCTCTCCTTCTAGCAGTTCCAAAACAGCCATCTACAGAAACCGGGAAGGAATTGAAAAGGGAGTCTGGGCACAGGCTGGTTATCATAATCTTTAGATGTGAGGGTCAGGTTGTGATCTTTTACATCCACATCATTCTGTGTAGCAGCGGTTCTCAGATCCCAGGCTGAAGTTCACAGATCAGCAGTGGTCTGAGGCCTGTTACTGCTGCTGCACAGAAGTACATTTTGGCTTAGTACATGCATTTAAAAAGCCTGAGCCTGAACTGATTCAATCTTTGCAGGTTAATCTAATCTGCATAGACTGAACCAATTTGCAAGTGAATAGACATTCACTTTTGATTCTGGAAATGCAGCCACATGTCTGCAGTGGCTCAGGCTAGAAGCCCGGGGGGGGATTAGAGTGAGCCCTCTCCTCCATTCAGCAGTAGCCATAAGGCTGAATGGAAGCTGACCAGGCGTTTTGGGGGGGGGGTGCGGCAGGGGCACGTGGCCATGCCCTGGCAGACCTGAGTATGATTGGGGAGGGATTTAAACCCCTACCCCGGCCTGCAGGGACCCCAGCTGGAATGTGCCTGGAGGGTGAAGGGGGAAAGAACCCTTGCCAGGGTTGTCCCCGAGGGTGGGGCATAGCCAGATGCCAGCCAGGGCATTGCCTCAGGCAAAGTGGGGGTGGAGGGGTAGGGAGGGGGATTAAACTCCCCTGTCTCCCCTCTCTTGCACAGGCTGGCCGGGCTCTGGCCACACCCCCTGCCATGCAGGCAGCCAGCAGGGGGGAAAGCCAGGCAGACCCCGGCTGGGGTCCCCATGCCCATGGGGAGAGGACAGACAGGGGAGTTTAGTCCCCCTGAGCCTGTTGGCCCATGCATACCCCTTCCAGTCCAGCAGAGAAAAGTCTAGCAGAGGCTGTTCTGCCCCCACCAGGCAGACTGGGCTGTGCCAGCTGGGTTTCCCACCCCCACCCCCTGTCAGCCAGCCCTCACTGCTCCAGCTAGAGAGCAGGGAGACAGGGCCAATCCTGTTTTGTTCTAGCAGACAGCATAGCCCAGGGCTGCAAAGCATGCTGGGATGCTGGTGGCCTCTGATTGAACTTGAACCAGGAAGGAGTCTGGGACAGAAGTTCCATAAATGGGTTAGACCTAAATCATTTAAGTCTGACTATATTCAACCAGGTTTATCTTAAACCAGTTTCGGGCATTTTGAAACTGGTTTATGTGCACTGGACTTCTGTTGTGTTACAAGTTTAAACCAGTTTCAGATCACTTAAACTGGTTTATTTGTAACTCCTGTCTCAAGCCTTTGAGAATCAAGCAGTGAAGATTAGAAAATGACTCATGAGTCAGGAGAGGATTTACTGGTTTCAAATCAATCAGAAGAGTTAGAAAACTGTAGAATGGTTGTTCCACACTGGTAAGAAGCTGGTATTCCCATGTTTCTCCTGTTGACTGTCAGTCATTCTTTGGAGCCTCAGGTTTCTGACTTGTTCTGTAGACTAGCAGTGATTTTGTTTTCTACCCTCTCAGGTTTCTGGGTTTTATAACACAGCAGCCTTGCTTCATTCTGCTATGCTGAGTCCAGCTTCTTGTCCTGATAATGACATAATAAGATGTCACTGTAGAGTATGTGAGGCTTCTTCAGAGAAGGATTTAACCTTTTGCAAAATGAGGATCGGGTTAAAAATAAAGTTAAAGCTGTCCAGTGTGCTTTCCTGTAGATAAAGGTAACATAATACTCTGGGGAAAAGAGGAAGTAAGCATAGCACAGAATCAGGCTAGAAAAATCCTGGGTAGAGAACCTGTAATGCAGAAACAAATAGGAAGTGACAGCAGCTAACAAAAAGGACCTGAGCTCACAATGAGGTGCTGCAGCAAAAAGCAAATATTATTCTGATATGAAATGTACACACTGTGGACTTGCCTGCAGGCCAAGGGAGGTAATAATGCCTCTTTGTGTCATATCCATACAACCACATTTGGAGTACAGTGGAGCATTTTGAGATGCTTAATTTTTAAAAAGCGTAATTTTCTTAAAAGAAGCCGAGGATGAATATTACAGTGAAAGGGCTAAAATGTGGGACTGATGGTAGAGATACTCAGGATCAGAGTTTGATTTCATTCACTGGAAGGGTCTTAGTATGGATTTTTGAAGGTGTGATAGATCAGGGTATATCTATACTGCAGAACCAACTGTTTAACCAAGCTAGCTCAGGTACCAAAAGCAATGTAGTCATAGCAGTATGCAGCTTCTGTGCAGTGTAAATTATACCATTTGGAGCCCCGTACTGCTGCAGTTAAATTGCTTCTAGTACCCCTGCTGGCTTAGGTATCTCTACACACTGCAATCTAGAGTTCAGGGAATCCGCAGCCACTCAGTGGTCCAAAGGACAGAGTTGTTAGCACAAAAAATAGCTTTCAGCAGGGGTAGCACATTGCTGAGGAGCTAATACTAACATTCAGTCAAAAGCTGTTGGCCACCTGAAAAGAAAAGGCATGTTGCAAATTTAGATTTGGTGCCATCAGGTCTGTCTCCTGTGTAACTGCAAAACTGTTTGTCACAGCATTTATTTCAACTAACTGGTCTCTGATGGAGCAAGATGCTTATTCTGACTCCAGCATCTCCCTCACACTTGCATAAAAGGAGTTATAATGTCTTGTAGGTAAATGACAAGATGCAGAGCAGAGGAACCGGGGAAGCAATTTCTGTTCTGAGGAAAAAAGTGGGGCAAAGAAAGGACATGCTAACACTTAGCATAGACAGACATGCATGTGAAGTGTTCCAAATTTGAAGTGTTTGGAGGCCACTCCAATTTGGAGGGTCTCAAATTCAGTGCACATGAGCACTGTGTATGATCCCCACCCCCAGAGCACTACAGAATGGCTGACAAAGCATGCAGTGGCGGGGCTTTCCAGCCAAGGGCACGGAGAATAGAAATGCCTGCATTCCTCAGCCTCTGGAGGACAGCCAAGAAACAAGGAAGTGTTTACTTCCCTTGCCTGTCTGCCCTGCTCTCCCCCACCCTCAAGGGGGAGAAAAGCAGAGCACTGTGAGTTGCCAGAGGACTGATCAATTCTGTCACATTCTACCGGAGCATGCACAATATGTTTCATAAAGTATTTTTGCACTGCAAAGATGCTCCTCTTTTTTGAGGGTCATTTTTAAAGGACTTCTTCAGCCTCAAGCATCTGCAACTTCACAGCTTGTAGCACTTCAAAGGCACTTGGAGTACTTCAAATAGCATGTTTGTCCGTGACTGTTCTTTCTTATAAATAAAGGAAACTATGTTAAAAGCCTAGCCCGGAGGAAAGATCTGTCCAGGTAACTGATTGTGTCCTTGGTCGTAGAGATTTCTAAAAAAAGGTTAAGAGAAATGGTTCATGTTTAAGGCTCAGTTAGGAATATCATCTGAACCCCAAGTGTTTTATAGGGCTGTATTGTCTACAGTTCCATGGAATACTGCCCAGAAACAGGATTCTTGAGGCTTATTCATTTCATTTGTGGTAGTAACTCAAGATCCATCCCTCTCTGTTTATAGAATTAGGAAAACAACTAAGACCTGGTTCATCTACTCTAAACTTCTCCTTTTTTGCCATGAACCAGCATTTGTTCTTTGCTGATGTTTGCTCCTGTGAATGGGCTCATTTAACAAATGTAACTTTGCATTGCCAGAACACGTAGATGAATCATCTAATTAAATGTAAAATATGATGTGCAAAGTATGAATGTGTACACTGGTTGTGTTTTGTGTTTTTAAATGTCTTGAAACAACCATATGTTATTATCTTGCCTGGTTGTTTTCCTAGCTGTTTACCTTTGGTTGGAGAGAAGACATCCGCCCCGGGGAACCTCTTCACACTAGGAAGTTCTGCTTCGATACCATTTCACAGAGTAGCCCTGTCATACTGTATGACTGCCATGGGATGAAGGGCAACCAGCACTGGAGCTATCGGAAGGTTGGAGTCACCTTGGGTCATTTTAAGAGGTTCAAGTCTGTACTGTATTTAGAGATGGTTATATCTGTCCACCTAAAATAATTTAAAATCCATCATGATTTATTCCAATTCCGCTTTAAATGGATTCTCTGTAGACTGTGTTTCTTTTCAATGCACACCGTGTAAGTTTGCAGTTTTTTAGGTCAAGTTTAAATTAATATGGATTTGATCCAACACAGAGTGAGCTGCATATTCCCTGAAAAAGCCTTACTATTTTGGCACTTCCAGACATGCATGTCATTTTAACAATAATGCCACTGAGAATATTTTTATTCACTGTGACAGCAGTAAGAAATGCTGTTCATGAATTAAATGTTATCATTTTGCTGTACTTAAAAGATTACAATTAACAGCTCAATCTAAAAAAAACCCCAAACTCCTCCCCGCCAAACCTCCAAAACAAAATAAAAACAAAAGAATTCACATTAAAATACCACTGTAATCCTCCAAAAAGTAGGGATTTAAATGAGATGTAGGTATCATTCTGATCTGCTAAATTTTAGCCTATTTTTATGTATCTCAAAAAAAGGAGGAGCTTATGCTGGAAACTGTGTCAGACCTTAGTTCAGGGCAAACAAGCCTATAGGAACACTACCAGGATTTCAAATGACATTGTTAATGAAAGGTTCTTATATATATCTAACTTAGTTAGTTTGTAAGGTGAAAATCTATCCTGCTGCCTCATTGTTAACAGTAACAGGTTAAACCCGTTCATTGCTGCTCTCACTTGTAATCTGTGCTGTGATAGATCATTGCACTATTCTTCTCATCCACTCTTTATCATCACATAACCATCATCCCCGTATTCCCATGTTTACTGGAGCTGAGTGTAATGGCCAAGATTGGACAAATCTGCTGGATTTTCTAGTATGAAATGAGACATTGTAGTGAGTTTAACTATAACGCTTAGAAACAGGTTAGCTACGTCTGCTATTTTCCTAAGGTATCTAATTATTGACTTTTGCCATTTGATCCAATATTTACATTGCATTCAGATCCGGAAATGTGATCTCTTCACAGCTAAGCTGGCATTAATAATACAGCTAGAGAAGGCATGGGCCAACTCTTTGACTGTGCAAATTAGCATTGTTCTGTTGCTGAGTTACCTCCATAATAATACTTTCAGAACCCTTCCAATTTATCTTAATACTTATCCATGCTGCTAGAAAGAAGCTTTGACAACTTTAACACTTCATTGGTGCTTAATGAACCAAGTATGTGACAAAATACAGCTCCAGTGCTGTCTTCTATATATGATTCATCACCTTTGTGGGTAAGACCCAGTAGATGGCCAAAGAAATAACAGTATTGTAAAAAAAATCTTTAGTTAAGTCCCATGTCTAGCTTTGTTTTTCTTATCTAGAGGATTCAAATCATATATAAAAAGTCTAAGTACAAGGTGAATTTATAGCTGATTTATAACTGATTAAAAATCCCTCGATAGTGAAAATGTGAAATATTCAAAATTAACTAACACAAAAACAAACCTTGGTTGTTAAAAGGAGTAAAATATACAAGTATTGTGTATTGTTTAGCCCTAAACCATAAAGCTGAGGAGCCACATCAGCATAGAAAATGAATGGATAAATATATTCCTTTTTCTCTGAGATAATTTTTAAAACTTTGCTTGAATATATATTAAATATGCTTTGATTGCCTTTCACTTGGGTTCTTTTTCTTCAGCTGAATCTACATGAGAAAATTTGCCAGTAAAGTTTTACTAGCAAAATCCTTTTAGTGTGAATATCTCTGACTTTAACAAAAAAAGTACTGGTTCTCCAAGGGTAATAAGCCATTCCAGTGAAAGTGCTTTTATGTCAATGTATCTGTATCTAAATTAGGGTTTTTGCCAACCTAGATATGTCACAAAAAATCACCTCTCTAATCGCTACTGCTATGCTGGCAAATGTTCCTAGCACAGACCTAGCCACGGTACTTTTAAAGTATTTTTTTTTAATTTTAAACTACTTTTTCAAAGAGCATAGAAAGAATAAGCACGTACAGTTAAACAATAGCCCCTTTTGAAAAAACAGATCATGCTACTCCATTCCACTCCTACATACATA